GCTGGTGTGTTCTTCCTCCAGAGCCTTGCATGCCTAGCTCCTTTTTCCTGTTAGATCTCAGATCCTATGTCATTTCCTCAAAAAATGGTTCCCCATTCTAATGCAGCCATCCTTCTACTAGAAACTCTCCATCATGTGATCCTGCTTTATCATCATAGCACTTACTGCTGTTGGAACACTTTTTCACCTTCATTTTCTGCCTTCCCTCACCAAAATGCATGATTCACAAAGGCAGAAATGGTATTGTTCACTACCAAATCCCAGGACAATGCCTGACATGTAGAAGAACTTCAGTGGACACTTGCCAAGGGGCAGTATAACAGAGTGGTTAAACATCTAACAGACAGCCTGGGTTTGAATTGCAGCATTGCCTACTAGCTGTACAAACTTAGTTTACTTATTTAACCTCTCTGTTTCCACATCTTTAGAATGAAATGATGATAATAGCATTTACCTTGTAGAGTTTTTGCATGGATTAAATGAGTTAACATACTTTAAATGCTCAAAGAAATTCCTGGCACTTACAAGCACCATATGCAAAAGCTATTATTCATTTACTCTGATGTGCCCTTAATTTCTTAGTTAGAAAAAAACTCTGTATCCTCAGACTTTTTAATTCATTAACAGCCAGCAAAATACATCCAATGATTCGTATACTTTCCACTCCTTTTTAAAGCAACTTAGAGAAAAGTCAGCAAAAGTACCTGGACGCTCCCACTCTGTAGCTCAGAAAAATATCCCAAGCATACACAACCAGAGTCATTTGAGGTCAAAGACTGTTCAAAGAGTTTGAGTCTTAGGAGTGTGAGAGCAGGGCCTCAGCATCCCTCCTTTGGAAGCCCTCTCAGAACTTGATTTCTTCTGCAGGTATGACAATCAGTTCCTTTCAAATACACTCTTATTAGGGTAGAATGAGACCTACCACATTTATTATATACACAGATTCTTCCCCACCAATAAGATCAAATAAATAATGATTTTTATCTGAAATTTGGATTTAACTGAGAGTCTTATATTTTTATTTACTACAATTTTTAAGCAGGGCACTGAAAGATGGCTTTATAAGATAGATCTGGGCTTAAATCTGAATTCTTGACTGTACTGTGGAAACAATTTTGAGCAAGTTACTTAACTCTCACTGAGCTACAATTTCCTCATCTATAAACAAGCCTACTTCACAGAGTGTTTCTGAGATTCCAATGAGGTAGGCTTGGTTAGAGCACTTAGCTTAATGCCGGAGGGCTGAATAAATACGAGACTTGCAAAAAACCATTTATATGCCTTCCTTCCTTTCTGATGCTTTAGGTCTGATCTGTAGCTGAGATGCTGGAAGCCATTTTTTTCCTAGGATAATTAGAAACAGCTTTGAAGGCAACAGAATCAAGGAAATCAAATTATGTTTTAATATCACATTCTCCTGTATCAATTATCTATTGCCACAACAATGCTGTGTAACAAACAACCATAAAACTTCAGTGGCATTCAACAGTAATATGTAGTCTTGCTCATGTGTCCAGGGGTTGGCTCAGTGACCATGATGATCCGAGCCAGGCTAGTGGGGCTCACAACTGTGGTAGCTCTCTGGTCAGCTGGGGACTGCCTGGTCTAGGATGACCTCAGCTGGGATGACTTGGGTCTGTGTTACATGGTCTCTCATCCTCCAGTAGGCTGGCCTGGGTCTGCTCTGAAAGCAGGGATGAGGTTCCAAGAGAAGCAATGGAAATATGCAAGAGCTATTACTAGACCACTTGGGTCAAGTTTGCTATGTCTCATTGGCCAAAGCGAGGCGTGCAGCCAAGGTCAGATCAGGTTAGAAGGGTACTCTCAAAAGGTATAAATATATCAAGGCATGAAACAATGGGGCCATTAGTGTGATCGATCCATGACACTAATAAATAAAGGAAGTCAATAAATAAAGGCATAAACAATGTAGTAGACAGTGTTGAGAGGGCTACCCTGTCTCTCAGCTCTGTGAGCTACACAGCCCACCCACAGAAATGGGTTCCTAGCAGTTTTGCTTATGCCATGTGACCCTACACCCTGGTTTTGGTTGGCCAGCCAAAGAGGGAGCCTCTAACCCAAGCTGACCTGGTCATTTTTTCTTCCTGGAATTTAGAAATTGGAACCAAGAGAGTTGAGTCAGAATCTGCATGTAACATCAACCTACATGTAACCTTGGGCACTCTGGGAAGGCTGTATTTGGCCACATGAACTGAGGAGGGGGGAAAAAAGCCAGTCTCTCAGCCATTAGAGACAGACAAATGAAGAAAATGCTGTATTCATTTCCTATTGATACTGTAACAAAATTACCACAAATTTAGTAGCTTAAGTAAGCAGATTTATTATTTTACAATTCTGAAGGTTGGAAGTCTAACATGGGTTGGAGAGCTGTGTTTCTTCTGGAGGCTCTAGACAATTCCACTTCTTGCCTGTTCCATCCTCTAGAAACTGCCTGCATTCCTTGGCTTGTGGCTGCATCACTACAAACTCTGCTTTTATTGCCATGTCTTCTCTTACTCTGACTCTCCTGGCTCCCTCTTGTAAGGACACTTGTGATTATTTGGGATCCACCTGGGTTATCCAGTGTAATCTCCCCAACTCAAGATCTTTTACTTAATTATATTGGCAAAATCCTCTTTGCCATGTAAAGTAGAATTTTCTTTAGTAGAAATGGAGGCCATTATTCTGCCTACCACAAATGCTCAAGGAGGAACGGAGATGACCCACACAAGACATTCCTGCATTCCTGCCCTTGGGTGCCATGACACACTCTTATATCCTGAGAGTAAGTATTTTGGGTGATAGCTGCCTGAAGTGCTCTGTCAAGAAGAATTCTGAAGGCTTATTGGGATGCATGATCAATTAACAATGGGTACCAACCAAACCAGAGAGTTATATACAATATGTGGCACAAATTCACCATCTTTGTTCTAGATTAGAAGTTATAGAATTATCATGACTGAGTATAAAACATAATTTTTCCTTATTAAAATGGGACTGAAACGATGAAAATTTAGATCCTTGCTAATGGTAGCAGAACTTGACTGAGTAGATATCCCTCAGGAGACTGCCTATATAATGTGGGGGCTATGGGTAGGCTGCATTTTATCATGTACCAGGTACCTAGCACTTACAAGAAAAAAAAACAAACCTTTCCCTTTGAACAAAAGAGTTGATTTTGGGGGCCCAACCACAAACCTGCTTCAAATGGACATTGCACTCCGCTCTTTCTCTAGGTTAGTGTGGCCACAGCCGGGGGGGGGGGGGGGGGCAATCCACATCACTATGCAAAACATTTTTCCTTGTCAGAGCACTTTCTCACAAGAGAAGGTCATGGGTTTCAGGAGCTCCAAGTTTTATTTCTGTCAGTTTTGTTTAGAACCGTGTGCCAAGAGCTCACTTACGCCTGGGTCCTTGGCCTGGCTTTTATAGGGAATTCTGCTCTTAAGTGACAGTTAATAACCTCACTAATCGCCCACTCCAGTGTTTTTGGTGACTTCATAGTGCTGAAATCACAGTCACATTCGCACCAGACAGGAAGAAAGATGAGTCTATCGTACCCTAGAATTTATGAGGAACCAAAAGGTGGTCTGGAGGGTGCTGCTCTATTTTTTTAAGTGGCATTAAGAATCCAGACTGCCTCTCAGAAACTGAGAATGCTTGGAAGCAGAAGCGATGGACCAAATGCCTGTACAAAAGGGACTCCTTCCCGTTAACTGTTATGAAGTTCTCTTTTCATGAATAATTCTTTTCTCTCAGAAGACATAAGGAGGGGTATGTTATTTAATCCCCCACTGTAGCTTTTAAACCCTGTAGAGTGCGTATTTACAAAGTAGGATCTTTAACCAGATGTTGTAAAAGAGATGTCTGCGCATATGTTTTGCCAAGAAATTAAAACCCAGTCTTTGCCAAGGAGCATAAATATACTTGGCAGAATCCAGAGACTCGGTAGCAAAGATAAAAGCAGTTGTTCCATTCAGCCAATCACTCACACTTATTACAAAACATTTGTCTTCCCTCGGGGTGAATTTTCTCCCCTTGAGCTGCCTGACTCTGGGAGATCTCATCCTCCAGCCCTGCAAGGCCTGTGGGAGAGACACTGAAGCAGGCTGCTCGAGTCACGTAATTCCATTTCTGTGCAGCTCCAGATAGAGGCCTACAAACCCACAGGGGCTTGGTTATTGCCCAGGGACATTTCATCTCTCAGCTATCTGATGTTTTCCCCTGTAATAATAAGGAATTTTTAAGACACTTATATTTTGAGTCTGTCATTCTTTTCACTTCTTTAAAATCTGATTTTCTTCAGCTCTCTGGGCTCTGTGCAAACATCAGTAAGCTGAATGGGTTGTCAGCACTTGGACTGACAATCAGTGAACAGATGTCTTAGTTTTACATTCAGTGAAGCAACTTGGGGACGGCTTTTGTGAATACTGTGGTGCTTTTTAAGATTTTTCTCTTCACCTTTCCATATGTCCCTGAAGAGTTTCACCCTGGGGGAAAAAAAATACACCGTGGCCTGATGCTGAGCAAAACCTCTTTGTTCTTCCTTTTTCTGTGATGTGTGACCCAGACCAACCAATTGTGAGAAAAGTAAACATGTCCATAGAGCCAAATCTAAAATTGGTTCTTTTAAAACTAGTTAAAACATGTTAACATCATTTAAAGTTTTAAAAAAATCTAACATTTCATCAAAAACTTGAGTTATCATCAGTAACTAAAATTTGATAATACTTCTTGGGAGTCAATTTACTCTATGTACTTGACAATATAATGAATATATTTCTTTTAAAAGTAGCTTATAAAACTTCTTAAATTACTCAATTCCTCACTTGTTTAGGACTATAGTTATCTGTGTGCTTATCTCACTTTCTTCTCAACTGTGGGTTTCTGGAAGGGAGGTACTTCAAAGCACTGCACCAGGAAACCAAACCCAACCCCCGCCCTTCAAGAGCTCAGGCAAAACCAAGAAATGGGTCCCCGACAAAAAGAGCTATCCTTACCTTCTCATGGCCTCTTCTCTTTCTCTTTCCACCCACTGTTACCCTTGCAAATAAATTAAATAAATAAATAAACAAACGTTTTTTATTTTCATTGTTTAGCTTTGGTCAAAAGCTCTTATGAAAAAGCAGGCACCTCAGATCTTTTTTGTAAAAGAGTAATGTATATTATATCATTCCTATAAATCATCATAACATACAGTAAGGCTATTGGAATTCCTGAGGTTGGGAGGTGGAATAGAGGGAGGGAAGGAGATCTCTCTTGAGAGAATGACTACATTAGGCCATTTGGCACTACTGTCACTCCAGTTCACACTCTCAATAAAAATGGCACATTGCAGATTTTAGACCATAAATCAGCTTGAAAAGTCAAAAATCCTGGGGAGACACTTTTAGCTTGTTAATAATATTATTGAAATCTTTTCCTGAAAAATTACAAATAAAGGGGTAAGAAATGTCATGATACTGCCCATTTCATTATCTGACAAGTAGTTATGCAAACCAGAATTAAACCATGCGAGTCAAATTTATTTAAGAAAAAAATGAAAAGAAAATAGAAATAAGTCAAAATATACCATGATAAATCACTTCAGAGTAACTACCTTCCACTTTTTTTTTGGCAAACAATATACCAAAATGTGTATCTACACAAACAATAATCTAGAAAATAATTCTTTGATAGCATGTTGTAAAATTTATTTAGCATTCAATTTTTCTACTCCTATTCAACAGTTTATAAACATATTTTAGCACCATGTGTGTTAAGCAAAACAAAGTATAGCATAAGGAGAGATGGCCTCCTTATGAGTAAAACACAAATGTTCCAATATTTTAGCAGAAAAAAGAAATCCTGAGGAAGTCACTGCAGAATGGGATTCCACATGTTAATTCCCACTGAGGCCTTGACTCAAGAATAGTCACACCCTCCCCATTACCCCTGACCCAGTTGAAACTGATGTAATATTTTCTTTTATGCTTACAAATACATATACTCATGTTATTTTTTTTATTTTGTTACTGTGGTTTGTCATTGACCTTTTAAGAAAAGTGACTAAGTAAGGGAGAACATAAAAAATAATTATGGAAAATCCAAATTCAAAAAACAGGCACATTTCCAAAGAACATATTTCTGATCCTAAAATAACCTCCCTTTATCCCTAAAGGACCAGTAGGATTTTGCAGACACCTTGCCCAGCTTCCATCTTCTCCAGTTTTTCTGCATTTCTCAAGCTCAGCAAGAAGTCTGGGAATTGATACCCATGAGAACCAATCCAGAATGACTTATCTTAGACACCAAATTTGACATTTCTTTTTATTTATTTTCCTTAAATTTTCTTGCCCTTCATACTCACCACTTAAGCCTAATGTCCCATCCGAGAGACACAAATGATTTGTAGAAATATGATGATTAAAATAATGAATCATTTCTAGCCCAAGTTACTAGGGCTGTCCACTTTTGAGGAATCTGTGATTCTATTACAGTTCACCAGGTATAGACCCAACTGTGTATTATCCCTGAACTGACAACAGCCACTGCACGCACACAGTGCTGTTGCTTGGAAGGCATGAAATTCAGGGGAACTCACGCTGCCCAGGTCTTATCCATTAAACCATTCACATCAGCTGAGTATCAGCTCAGCAAAGCCCCCTCAGACCATAGGAACAAATGACATAAAACCCTTTTTTAAAAAAAGGATTCATAGTACCATTTGAGCATCAAAGGCAAGGGTCAAATGAAACTTCAGATTAACAGCTCGGGAATTACTGAGATTTGACTACAAGTTGTTTATGACTCAGTGTGGAACGTTACCAGATTCCATTCATGGACTTTTATTCATATCTGAAACATAAACCAGGGAAAAGAATTCAACAAAACAAAACAAAAAATATAGCAACAAACTCTCACTAATAAGAACAATTCTATAGTTCCATTCTTTGTAGAAAACTATAGTTCAAGAGTAGAAGTTTCTTATAAGCTAGTTTACTGTGAATATTCCAGATAATATAGCAGAAACCAAAGGCTGGTGTTTCTTTTTTTCAGATGGGTTCTTTACTCTCTTTTCTTCTCCTGGCTGCCATGTTTACCCACTTCCTAAGAAGAGATATGTATTGGGAAAAGTTTTCAATGAGCAATAATCGCGCCTTGGATAAACTTTATTGGCTACGATACTGCCACTGTGCAAAGCTAAGAGAGATATGTATTGAGAGTGAATAAGTCTTCATGAGGATGGTCTTTCTACAAATTGGTGTCCTGATCTTCACAGACTTAATCCCTTCCACGAGGGTTGAGACAAACTCCCTCACACCCCAGTGCTAGCATCTCTCTCCTTAGGCATCTAATCCATTGCCCTTACTTACATCCTAATGGGCAACTCCAGCCCAGAGATTCATGTTACCTAACCTTCAGAAGTATTTACCATAAAGTACATATGGATGAAAAGCAAGGTTTTCAGTGTTTATGCATGGCATTTCTGAATGAAACAGATTTTTTTTTCAAATGGTCTGTGAAATTTAACATTGTAAACTATCTTCCATTAGAAAATGTTCTATCCAGTTAATGCTTCTAGTGTCTCTTACCAGGAGTGGAATACAAAAGAACCTGAAGTTGATAAGACTTTTATCATTTCAGCAATGAGCATTCAATACCTTTTAACTAAATTATGATGTTTCCATACTTCTCTTGACCCCAAGAATCATTTTAGTTAGTGATGAAATGAGAGAGGCATGTTCTGAACAAAAGTTGGCACGAGAGGAATTGGATCCAAGTGCTGAAGCTTTAATCGAAGTTATTTATCATGAAATGACACATAAAGTCCCTGTGCTCTACACTGGCTTTTACTTACAAGAAGTCCACATTCTTGTTTGGTTTGTCTCTTAGAGTGCATGACGTATTTTTAAAAAACAGGTCTCATTTCTTCTAATTGCTGTATTAAACCAGACACTAATTAATATCAAGAATTTTGTGGTGAAGAATTGTAATAGCAAAGAAGTATATTCTTGCAATAATCATACAGGGAATTCTTTGAGATTTATTTTGTATGTTTGTTTTGTTTCCCATTTGAAAGGTGCTAAATATGCCACGGAGTACTGCGCTTTGATGCTCATGGTACATCCTTTTATTTTTATCCCAGGCATTTCTGCAGGCATAGAACAAAATATCTTGCCAGGTGACAAAGCGGGCCTGGCTGTTCAATGCAAGAGTCAAGTACCTGTCCAGCCAGTTTTCACAATGTATGCTACTCTGGGCCTCTTTGGGTGTCCTTTCCTCAGAACAAGTCCCTACTCATTAAAGAGCCACAGCCCTTGAGCCTTTTCCCCAAAACACATGACTTTGAGTTTGTCCCCAGGCCTAGCAGAACAATGTGAACTGCTGGTATCCTGACACAATGGTCTGTTCCTACTTTCAGTGTGGGTGTGTTCAGACAGAAGTAAGGCCTGGTGAAACAGACTTCTGTAAGGAGAGTTATTCCGTGAACTATATTTATTTGGAGCACAGAACCTTGACTTCCGTGATGAAGGATTCCCAGAACTGTTATTCTAACAAAATACTTAGTGTCTGTGGAGCATTCGTAATACGCCAGGCATTTCATTGGGTCTTCACCGCATTCCTGTGGGATATGTTCCTAACCTTACAGATGAGGAAACAAGCTCAGAGAAGCTCAGAAAGTTGCTCACAGTTAGTCAGCAAGCAATCAGTAGAGATGGGGTTCAAATGCAAGTTTGACTCCAGAGTTTTTAGTCTTTTGGGCAGTATTTTACATTTTGGAATGAAAGAATGTAGATAGATAGATGATAGATGACAGATAGATAGATAGAATGAATAACATTGTTAGAATAACAATGACAATGCCTACAAGAGTTCTTTAACTCAGGACTTTATATGAAAATCTTAGAAGTAGTCAAGAATGACTGGGGTTAATTGAAAATATAGCATAAACTGTAAATATGTACTGTGACATTCTTACATAGCCTTCAATTTCTCCTCTCTAGGGAGCTGATGAAAACCTTTCACCAGGTGGGGTTAAGAGAATGATCTTTCTCCTTGTTGGATCTAAATGCTCCTTTCACTGTTCACTGTCTCAGATTCTATTCATCTCATGGTGTCCTTGCCCCAAGATGACTTGAAATATCTCAAAGTTGATTTTTAAGTACAAAGTCATCATCAATAGATTGCTAAGGAGATTTACAAAGTGCTTGCTGTAGTCGTTTTTGTGTTTTTTTTAACTTAAACTTAGTAAAGGGTGTCTCTTGGTCCCTCTCACGCTCTGGCTTGCCCCATTTGCACAACCCTGTGACACTTCATTTATATCTGTTTCAGGAGCTCTGTGTCTTGCATCTGTGTCTTTGCTACATTCTGCCCTCTTCGGCCACGTCAAAGTGATTTTGTTTTGTTTCTTTGACATGAAGTATAGTTTCCTGACAAAGATCTATAGTCGATACTGTTGGAGCCCCATCCACATCCTCCCAGCGCTCACCTCACTGCTGACTGACAACACTGTGACTCTTCAGGCTTCCTTCCTGGGCAGGGATCAAGTTTACAGGCTAAGCCAGAGGTGTCACACTTAATGACCCTGAGAGCATCGATAGATGGGGCATTGGAATATAAATACTCTAAATTCCTCACTGCTGGTTGCTATATCTCTAAGGTGTAGTGTACACCGTTTCCTGGAGGTACCCAGGTGCCATGGCCAATCCATGTAATACCATCGAACATAGCCCTGGCCAGAGCAGTCGGTGTGTTTCTGTTCAGTCGTGTCACATGAAGGCTCAGGGGGCACTAGAGAAGCAGCCAAGGTGGGCTGGTGCCCGTGTAATGAAAGTATCAGATTACAAAGTTTATAATCACTGATTCTATGCAGTATTGGCAAGTGTGTAAAAAAACAAGCTTTCTCATTCGATCTTTGATGGAATGGGAAATGATACAATTCTTTGAAAGCAATATGGCAATATCTATCGAAACTTTAAATGTGTGCATCGCTTTGGCCCAGAAATTCCTCTTTCTGGAATGTGTTCTGCAGAAATATTTGCACATGTATGTTGAGGAAG